ATACCGAGTTATTAGCGGATATTTTCTGTGGTTTTATATTATGGATGGTGCGCTCCCTGTGCTGGGTCCCTCCATTAGTGGTGAGACCACTCGATTTTGATGCCAACAGTCGGTCGGCGAGTAAATGAATATGATGAATGAGAACACACAGGCCTGTGCGTATAGACATATAATGTACTGCTGTATAGTAACGGGTCATTTGTTTGTTTCGGTTGTCTTCATCTTACTCATTTCGTGATGATGTGATGGTGTGCCTTATCTGCCTGATTCCTGCTGAAGTAGGCGGGTTGAATGACGTTTGATTCAGGGGATGTTCTGGGGGCGGGGTTTGCAAGACACACTGAGAGCTACTAGCCTGAGTGGAAATGCGACACGATTTCGGCCTTACTGCTCAACCACCCAGGCGATTGGCCCGGCCCAATTAAACCCCTGCCTCGCACTGGCACGACAGTGGAAATGCGGCTAATGACAGTGCAAAATAGCCTGCCATAACGTCTGCAATTATATAAACTAAATAAATAAATGCTACATATATGAACACATACAGACCCTTAAGGGGGTCACACACCAGAACTGTCGGCCACGGAGCGCCATGCATTTCAGAATTCTAAACATAGGTTTCTATCAGGGTACACATACTGGTGCCGCAAGTCAGCGGTGCCCAGCCACGACTCAAGACATTGTTCATATTTCTGCCATGCCACAAAGTGCCATCTGAATAGTTTTATTTTAAATATCATGCGAATGTGTGCATCAGGTGTGCGACACTTCCAACTGTTATGTGCGCACCGTGTCATGGCGGTGAGCTGCGCATCTAGATGTGATGACCCTCTTACATCATCTTTAAACCTGACTCGTATCTGATTGTCTGCATTTACACAGCATACCGCAAAGCTTTAATGACCACCAGAAAAAAAAAGAAAAAAAAGTCGGGCACTGACTAACAGTTGATAATAAAAGAGAGCTCTTTTCTCCATTCCTGTATTTAATCTGTTCGCAGGGTTTAATTTTATTATTTTTAATTTTGGCAAGTTGTTTTAGGTAACACTTTACAATAACAGTACATGAATAATGATGTATTAAAATGTAAACTAAACATTAGTTTATTATGAATAAATGATGAGTTAAGGTGCGCACTAATCATGAATTAAATTTAACTACAACATGAGTCACATGAAGAGTTCATGTGTGAATGATGACAACCTTAATTACTTGTTAGTACATGGTGTTAATTAATGTATTAACATTTAAGTCTAAGCTAAATGTAACCAACATGAACTCATGAGCTGTTAATGTATAGTTATGTCATGACTTTACTTGGAGGGGCACATCATTATTAACCTATTCTTAACTACTCATGAGCTCCTGTTCATGTTGATGTTGACAGAACACTGTTCTATTGTTATTCAGTGTAAACTCACGAGTTGGACGTGCATGAAGAGTTCATGAGTAGTTAAGAATGGGTTAATGATGATGTGCCCCTCCATGTAAAGTCACAGCATAATTATACATTATCACAGGGCCGCAGTGGGACTCCTTTTCAGCCCTGGAGTTTAAAGCCTCAGACCGGCCCAACTCAGTTCAGGACTGACTATATTAAAATAAGGTCATTTCCAATTCAGTTTCTAATGACACCATCACGTCTTTTTTTGAGAAAACAGCTGCTTTAGAACTTCAAATGTTCAACAACCCTAACAGTATTATATGTCTTAACAATAAAAAAAAACAACATACTCAGACGAGGATCAAACCCGGATTGGCGGAGTCTAACGTGCTAACCACTGGACCACAACAGTTATACAATGAATCGTGACTCATCTAAGTTATATCATCAATAACCTGCAGGCTGGTTATATATAAAAAGAGCAGAGCTGCGGTAAAATAATGAATTAAAAGACTGTGGTCAAGTAAATAAATAAATTAATTTAAAAAGTGTGACTGCTGAGAGCAACAGATTCTGGAGCAAGGGACACCGGCCCGGCCCACCGGGAATTCTCCCGGTCCTCCCGATAAGCCAATCCGGGCCTGACATATCATGAGTTCATCATGGTTAAATTAAGCACAAACTATTGTGGTATTTATACATTAACAAACAATTATATACTAACAAGTAATTAAGGTAGCTGTTTTTCACACATGAACTCATGTGACTCATGTTGAAGTTAAAGTTAATTCATGATTAGTGCATACCTTAACTCATCATTGATTCATAATAAAGTAATGTTTACATATTAATACATCATTATTCATGTACTGTTATGTACCTGTGTTTATTTGAGAGCGCACAAGAAGATCTGCGCTTAAGCCGCGTAAATTTGAGGGGGCGTGCAAGAGGTTTTGTGCACAAGCAGAGGAAATCAGCGCGCTAGCACACTCATATTGCACATAAATGCGATCTTGACTTGTAATACTGGTCTTCTGACATTTCTCCATTTGTCATTGAAATAATGCCACAGGTAGTTGGTAGATTTGTGTAAAAGGTCTGCCGCCACAGCTGGAAAAAATCCTAGAGAAAACACTGAAGATCTAGGAGAAACTAGTGCTCAATTTTTCAAGTTATCCAGAGCTGTATGACTTTACAAATCTTGAAAATTACAATATTATTAAATATTACAATTGTAACAAAACAGACAGCAACACTCTTGCACAATTAATACATATTTGTCATATTTGTTAACTCGCAGGAAGATAACGTGTTACTGTAACAGTGGTAATAGAGATTCATTGTGATGAATTACTAAAATTAAGGTAGTACACATGATTGATGCTTTGGTGCCCCTAGTGGTTAGGAAAATGCAGCCATTTTTCTTTAAGATGTCCTTGCGCAGCTACCATAGTTCAGCAGATGATGGCTAATGCTGCTACTGGTAAGAGTGCTCTGAACACAGGAGTGAAAATATAATGATTAAAGTGTGTAACATGATTATTTTTGGATATAAAAGAGTGATTAAGTTGTCAACAAATGTATAATGCTTCTGATCGATTTAAACAGCAAATATGTATTAAGAAATGCAACATTATTGAGCTTTGTGTTTCTCATAGTAAAATGCTATGATGTTGCTATCATAGCATTGTATTATGGAATGACGCAAGACCACTCTTAAAGTGACAGTGTTGTTTATTTTACATCTTTTGTTTATTTCAGTTTTTATCTGCAGTATATTGCCGTTACATGTGATTTGATTTGTTTCTCAGGCATGTGAAAATTTATTCTTTAGTAATTTGTTTTGTAAAAATGTTAATAAGAGTTCAGCGGATGATGGCTGATGCTGCTACTGTTTTGCCTGCAGTATTTTGCCGTTACATGTGATGTTATGTGATTTGATTTGTTTCTCAGAATAAAAAGACGCTGAGAATCACTTTTGGAGGGTTTCGTTGCTTTAAGTTGGTGACGATTGCAACACAACACAATGCAGAGGTCAACAATCGTTACATAACCGCACGTGCCTACAGACATTTTTGCCAAAGAAGCAAAATGGATAAAGAATATTGCTGTTTAATACAAACGAATTGATGCCAAACCAGCGCTGATGCTGATCGCCTCCTGGATCTGTCATAAACAGCTTATAAAGCATGTATGCAAATTAATGGAATAACATATTTAAACAACAAAACTGTTTACAAAAAGTCAACAAACCACATATCAAGACATAATTCTAAAAATGTTGATTTCTATTAAAAATGTTTTGTGATTATAATAATAACAGCGGGGCATTAAATAAATGCAGATTTTCCATGGAGCGAGCAATTTGAGGAAGTCTGCTATTTTTATTTGACGGAAGAAAAAACATATGATAGGAAAAAAAACAGCCTATGCCGGTTCCTAAAAAAGGATCAGTCAGTGTTTTCGTTTTGTAATATAAATTAATAATTGAGGGGAAAATAATTTAGGGCAGTCCTATTTATTTTATTTAGTTTATTGTTTTTCTATGCTGTTAGAATCATTGCAGGTACGTGAAGATGCTCTGTTGTTATGTTCTGTTATTAATAAGCTAGTATATATATTAGTGGTGGGTCGTTATCAGCGTTAACGTGCTGCGGTGCTGAGATTCTTATTGCGCAATAAAAATATTACCAATAATCTATTCTCAAAGTTGGGTTGGGAGCTGGGTTTATTCTACGCAAGCTATGATGACTTTCACCTTGATATTTTAGCGCGGATGTATACCTGATCATCTGACAAAAAGGTGCCCTTCTGAATCAAATCAGCAGGTCAGCAGGATGCCTGACTTTAACTGCAGTTCAGCAGTTTCACTTTCACTCATGAACATTTCATTCATGCCCCCGAGACAAACGGGGATTTTAGATGAAAATAAGGAGGCGTGTGTGTGGATCTTATGGGAAAATATAGTGAAAAGTCCTACATGACAGTAAAGGCCGTCACACACCGGATATGCAGCTCAGCGACGTGACACGGCACGCACATAGCAGTTGGAAGTATCACACACCAGACCCGCACATTTGCATATTATTTAAATTGAAGCTCTTCAGATATGGTGCTCTGGTGCGGCAGAAATATGAACAGTGTCTTGAGTCGTGGCTGGGCACCGCGGACAGCTGCTGACTTGCGGCACCAGTGTGTGTACCCTGATAGAAACCTATGTTTAGAATTCTGAAATGCATAGTGCAAACAAAAGCTTGCTTTCAACATGACATTACTGACAACAAACTATCAGTCATTAAAATAATAGTATAAATGTGTGTTTGTCCAAATCTGTGTTAAAAATGCTAGCACAAAAGTGTTGCTTTTACATTTTTGTTGTGCATTTGCCCACATGGACGCACCAGTTAATATCTTTATTTCAATGTGCCACTGAATTAAAGATATTAACAAACAACAGCAACAAAATAACTAGTAATAGCCTAATGGTCTGACTCTCAGGATGGCTTGTTTAAAAATACTTGGAAACTTTGTTTAAATTTATTTTTATTTTATTTTTTATTAAAATCTCATCTATATATCTCTCATCTCTATAGACACAGAGATTCTGAAAACTTACCTAACGTTCCTTCACTTATCTTGCTCTGTTGGGATTTTCCATCATCACCGTGATAAGAAAGATGTTTGTTTACTTCTGATCTGGATGAACGCAAAGATCTGCGCTGCTCTTCTTCCTCAGACACTTCTTTAGCATCTTCATATAGCTCACAAGTGACATAATATTCTTTGGTATACTTCAGCATCATATCAACTCTATTCAAGATCTCAGCAGGCCAATCTGGTTTCCCCTCTTCAAGCAGCAAATGTCTTCCTCTGCACACATTTATTAACTGGGAAATAGCTGTGTTCATGTGTGAGTAGTGTGTCTCTTTATCAGTCATGATGATGATGGTGTGGTTAATCGCTTCCTCACTGAATGTGTTGAGCACATGTTTGACTCTTGTCATGTCGTCCTCTGTGAAGTCTTTGTACTGTAGTACAAGTATGAATGCATGAGGTCCTGGATCAGACATTTCTGCACACTCTCTGACTGTCTGCGTGATCTGATCATCTGAAGTGTCCAGATTTAGCAGATGAAGAGTGTTAATGACCACCACATGTCTGGCATTCACCATTCTACTTATGTTTAGCACATTGTGCTGCTCATCCACATCTGTTACCAGGATTGAGTTTCTGACTCTGCTGTTTTCTGAAACATTCTTTCCCAGAAGAACAATCCTCAGCTCTCTCTCTGAAACACAAAAAAACACATAATGCAAAAATAGAAATACCCAAATATGTCACATCTCATACTACATTTTAGACTCAACTTTAAAAAAAAAAAGTTCACAGCATTATCAAGATTAAAGGGCCATGAAAGCCCCTCGTTTCAGCAGGGTGTTTTCGCACCTCTACTTTGGAAAAAGTCAGAAAAGTGGGCGTGTCCAGCTCTGTTTAGGGGGGAGTGTCGGAGGAACTAAAGTGGGAGGGTGTGGGAGTGTCTATTTGGGCACGCGCGAGTTTCAGTCAAAATACTCACAGACAGGAGAAAGTGATGGTGTTTAACCTACATGGACATCTGTAGTCGAATTATTTGCAAAATTATTAAATGGTGGACTTTAACTGCAGTTTGGCTCTTTCATTCAGGGAATTCATTCATGCCCCTCGCGACAAACGAGATATTTGATTTGAGGCGCTGCTCTAAGCGTGTATTTTTCATGCAATGTTTGATACCGCACGGCGAATGAGAGAAAAAAAAACCTCCGCATTTCCCGGAAACTTAGATGCACACGGCAGGTAGCGTCAGAAAGCCGCGTGTGTTATTCCGGTCACTAAATGCGGTAAAAGCCCTACACGAGGTTAAAGTTTGGTTGTGGTCCTAACATGTTACGGTGCAATAGTTAACTTAGTTCGATACGAACAAACTGAATAAACAAAGAGCACTGGCCGCTCACTTACCTAATCTGTAGAGACAGGACAATCACCAGCAACTAGAGCCGCGTCTTTATTAAGAGGAGACTACAACCGAATCCGGATCTCAGCGTTTGGAGATGAGAACAGCTCTCAGCTAAACAATAATCCTCCTTAGACACGTAAGTTATTGTTGTCGAGCGTCGCGTACACTGTTAATCCACGCGTGAGTCTGAGCTCTCACAGAGAGAAAAAGAAAACGTTCGAGGTTACTAAAGTAACCCTTCGTTCCCCGAGGAGGGGAACGGAAGCACTATAAGTGGATTTGATTGTAAAATCCACGCATTGGGAGGTTCGGTTCAGAAGCTACTCGTCTGAAAGAGTATTGAACGGGCCAATTAAGAATGAATTGGCAGCGCAAGCCTGCGCAGGTGAGCGGCATAAGCAATCAACTGAGTATATAAGCTCACCTGGCGCAGCAGACGCTATCCTTTTTAAGCTGAAGAGACTTTCAACAGCTAAGGGACAGTCATTATGGCGACGGAGTATAGTGCTTCCGTTCCCCTCCTCGGGGAACGAAGGGTTACTTTAGTAACCTCGAACGTTCCCCTTCGGGGGGAACTTCAGCACTATAAGTGGATTTGATTGTAAAATCCACGCATTGGGAGCCCATTGAAAGCGCCATAATGACTGCACCTTACCAACACCCCCGATGAGGAGATAGTCAAGCAAGCGTGACGCACCCACATCATGGGGGGCGCGGTCCTCCAACGTGTCCCTGGCCCTAATTTATCCTACTTCAACAGAAGTTTTACGGATTTATATATATTTTTTGGGAAGTCGTGAGCATCTAGATAATTCTAGGAAAATACGACAGTACGTTGGGAAGCGTGCAATCCCGATAGGGAGGACGCTGCGGAGGCCATCCGTTACCCAAGGGGGGATAGATGGCAGAATTTACATATGGACTAGCCCTAAAAAGGGGGAGTACGCATAGCAAAAGAGTGGTTAGCGGGGAGGGAAGACACGGGTCCGCCCAGGGGGGGGGGACTTAACCGTGGCTGAATAAGCATATGGGATCGCCTAGTGGGGACCACGCATAGCAGGCACCTTTACCCAAAACGCGGGCTGACCAGCGGGCAGACCTACAACGTAGTGGGCCAGCAAGTGACTCCTCCGCTGAGTCAGTGCTGGGGGCCACGGAGGAATCTGCAGGGCTCACCTGACGGGGAACTTTACTGACAGATAAAAAGGCGCACGTATCTCCGTGTTAGGGAAAATGGCGCAGCAAGCGTGTTTCAACACCCTACCGAATTGTTTCCTCAATCACCAAGGGTTACCTAATACCCTTGAGGAAACCGGCTCCACTCGCAGATTGTAAAACCTTGCAAATGTGTTGGGTGTCACCCAGCCCGCAGCTCTACAGATGTCTGTTAGAGGGGCGCCGCGTGCGCGCGCTCGAGAGGATGCGAAGCTCCGAGTGGAGTGCGCACGCGCTCTCGGGGGACGCGGCTCATCTCGGCTCTGATAGTGAAAGAAAGGCATCCACAATCTAGTGGGAACTTATTTCGGTACGGCACTTCCCTGCTGCCGACCGCTATAACAGACGAAGAGCTGCTCAGATGATCTAAACTCTGAGTGCGGTCCGGATAATACGCAAAACGCGAACTGGACAATAAATAAGGGCTGGGTCTGCCTCCTCCGAGGGCAGCGCTTGCAGGCTCACTACCTCGTATTAAAACGGAGTGGTAGGAACCTTGGGCACATATCGCGGGCGGGGTCTCATACGTGAGAGAAGCCAGCCCAATTACAGGCACGAGTCACTGACCGAAAAATGCCTCCGGGTCCCCGACCCTCTAATCGATATCAACGCGACCAGCAGAGCTGTCTTCAGGGACAGAAAATACTGAGTCGAGGATCGAAGGGATCTGACGCGGCTTGTGTAGCGAGGGCGAGATCCTAAGAGGGCATGAGAGGGGGCGGGGTGGATTAATTCGCTTAACGCCCCTGAGGAACCGGATGATGAGGTTATGCGTTCCCACGGTGCTGCCAGCCACCGCGTTATGAGAGCGGAGATGGCAGCCACGTAACCTTGAGTGTGGAGGGCGACAGCCTGCTCTCCAACTTCTCTCGGCGTAAAGAAAGCACAACGCTGATCTGGCAAATTACGGGGGTCTTCTCAGCGAGAGACACACCATTCAGTGAATAGACTTCACGTCAGGGCATAGGCGCGCTCGGGGAGGGGGCTCTAGCCCGAGTGACGGTATTAGCCACCGCAATCGGAGGTTACCTAAGTCTTCCTCGCGTCTAAAAATCTCTTCAAAGATCGGCGAGGGTGCCAGGTGGTGCCCTGTCCCTGAGAGAGTAGGTGCTCTCTCGAAGGGACTGCCAGGGGAGGGCTATCGCGAGGGAGAGCTCTGACATCCAGGTCCGGTTGAGCCAGAGGGGCGCAACCAGCAACCTGTTCCTCGTCCTCCCTGACCATGCACAGTAACTGCGCGAGCAGGCTCACTGGGGGAAACGCGTATTGCGCGTGCCCCGAGGCCAGCTGTAAGCCAGTGCATCCGTGCCGAGAGCACTCGGTCAGGGAAAGAACAACTGGCAATGAGCGATCTCGGGGGAAGCAACAGATCGATCTGGGCTTCCCCGAATCGCGCCCATATCAGCTGAACAGACTCGGGGTGGAGTCTCCATTCTCCAGGACGCAAGGCTGCCGTGAGAGCGCATCGGCTGCACGGTTGAGCTTGCCTGAATATGAATGGCGTGCAGCGATTTCAGCCGCGGATGACTCCAGAGGAGCAGACGGCGGGCGAGCTGAGACATGCGGCGAGAGCGCATACCCCCTATACGGCTGATATACGCCACCGCCGCCGTACTGTCCGTCCTGACCAGCACGTGTTGCCGCTCCAACACCGGAAAAAAACGGTGGAGAGCGGGGAACACTGCCAACAGCTCCAGGCGATATGCCAATGCAACTGGGTACCTTTCCACAGGTCCGCAGCCGCATGCCCGCAACGCACAGCCCCCCAGCCCGTGTTGGAAGCGTCTGCTGAAACGACAACAAGACTGGACGCCTGTTCTAGAGACACCCAGGCCTGTAGGAACGAGGGGTCGCTCCAAGGGCTGAGGGCGCGGCGACACAGCGCAGTAACAGAGACTCGGTGTGCGCGCGCGTGCCATGCGCGTCTGGGGACTCGATCGTGAAGCCAGTGCTGAAGTGGTCTCATATAGAATAATCCGAGCGGCATGAAGCGGCTGCGGATGCCATATGCCCCAGGAGCCTCTGAAATTGTTTCAGTGGGACCACTATTTTACTGTCGAGCTCTCTCAGACAGTACAGCATCAGCTGAGCGCGCTCTCCGGAGAGGCGCGCTGCCATGGTGACCGAGTCCAGCTCCAGCCCGAGAGAAGAGATCCTCTGCACGGGGGCGAGTTTGCTCTTTTCTAGGTTGACCTGAAACCCCCACAGGTGGAAGTGCCAGAGCACTTTGTCTCTGTGCATAATCAACTCTGTGCATAATCAAAAGAGAGGGCAATTCAGCCAGTCGTAAAGAAATTGAGTATGCAGATGCCCGCGAGCCGAAGGGGCGCTGAGGCACCCTCCGCGGGCTTGGTGAGGACCCGCGGAGACAGAGAGAGCCCGAAGGGGAGGGCTTTGTATTGCCAAGCTCGACCTTCAAACGCAAACCGCAGAAACTGTCGGTGGCGAGGAAGAGTGGAGACATGGAAATACGCGTCCATCAGGTCTAATGCTGCAGACCAACCCAGAGGACGAACGCACCGGAGGATGCGCTTCTGCGTGAGCATTCTGAACGGCAGCTTGTGCAGGCAGCGGTTCAAAACGCGCAGATCTAGGATTGGCCGTGACCCACCGCTCTTTTTGGGCACGATGAAGCGTGGGCTGTAAAACCCGCTCTCCATCTCGGCTGGAGGGAGCGGCTCGATTGCATCCTTCGCCAGGAGGACAGCAATCTCCTCTCGCAAGACAGGGGCGGACAGGGGGCTGACCCTGGTGAATACACACCCGTGACTTGGGGGGCCGTTTCGCGAACTGAATCGCATAGCCGAGTCTGATTGTGCGTATGAGCCACCGCGAAGAGCTGGCCCGCGCTAACCAGGCAGGCAGAGCTCTCGCTAATGGACTCATCGCTACAATCGCTGACGTACCAGCAGTGGGGCAGCGCGGAGTGGGTGTGCTGATCCGGGAAGCTCGCGGGTCCCACGGAAAAGCTGGAGGTGAGATATTTGCTCTCACTCCAAACCCGAGCTCCGGAGGGGAGGCTCGAGGGGTGGGAGAAAGGAGACCGTCCTCCCAGCGCTCGTGAGCCACTGGCGAAACGCACCGAATCTGCAAGCTAGAAAGCATAGCGTCCCAGACTGGCAGATTTCGGGCTGTCACATCTGGGGAAGTGAAAAGTGCCCTTTCATAATGTTTTCATGGCAGTAAAAAGTGCCGTTGGAAATGGGGCCCCGCCCTCCAGCGGGGAAAGAGCAAGTTCCCTCTTCTCCAGATGGCCTGTCCCAGGGGCGCTTCGCGGTCCGTTGCCGGACTTAGCGGCGTTCTGGGCAGGGGGGCTGCCTGCTTCCGAGGTGCCCGACGCGCTCGCTTCGCCTTAGGCGTGTGCGGGGGCGGAGCAGCTCTCGTAGGCGGGCGCCTTCGGCGAGGAGCAGGTATGAATGGCACGGCGGGCGGAGCGGGCTACGGACCGCCGATAAGACATCACCCACCAACTGCTCTCTCACCGCCTTGAATTCCTGGGTGAATTCACAGACAGTGTCGCCGAACCTGGCTGGGGATATGGGGAAGTCAAGAAAGCGGACTTTGTCGACTTTGCGCATATCAGCCAGGGGTGGCGCTCCTGGACCACTAATGTGGACATCGTCCTCCCCAACGCACACGCAGCGGACTCAGTAGTCCGAAGAGCTAAGTCGGCGGCGGTGCGAAGCTCGTAAGCCTGGGTTGGACCCACCCTCGTGCAGCTCGGCCAGCGCCTGCGCTTGGTAGCGCTGGTAGGTGGCTATCGCATGCAAGGCGGAAGCAGCCTGGCCCGCAGCTATGTAAGCTCTAGCTCCGAGGGAGGTAGATAACTTACAGGCTTTGGATGGGAGACGAGGCGGACCCCGCCAAGAAGAGGCGCCGCGCGGATTTACCGCCATCGCGCACTCAACCTGAGGAATCGCCACATACCCCCTGGCTGTTTCACCGTCAAGAGTGGTTTGGGTGGAGGAACACGCAGCACGAGCAGAAAAAAGTGCTTTACAAGACCGCGTGAGCCTACTGTGCACCTCCGGGAAGAAGGGAACGCCCCTCTAGTCGGTCCGGCCGCGGAGCTGGGGGATAAACCATCTCCAACCCACGGCCGAAGCAGCCCGGGAAAGCACGGCTAACATGTCCGTTTCAGGATCCGTAGTGACAGCGCTCACCAGCCCGAAGGGGGCGAGCGGGTCTGGATCATCATCGGACAATGAAAGCCCACCCTCCGATGCCGCGGTGGACATCTGGTCTCCGGTGTCATCGGGCGTAAGGGCTACCATCTGTTAGACGGATCGCTTCCTCCGCCCGAAGCTTGGATGGAGCGCTTAGAGGAGCGGGAGGTCCGCGGGCCCGTGGGCGACGGATTATCTCTCGCTGAAACCCTCAGATCTGCCCGAGTGCCCGCTGCAGAGCAGGGGACAACTGGGGTGGTTCGCCTTTTTGCAAAGGCTAACCGCGATCTTGCGCAACAGTCATGGCATCGCGATGACGACATGAACTGCCCGCGAGCAGCGCATTAACATGCTGGACCCCCAGACATGTAACACAGTGCCCGCGCCCATCATCCGAGGACAGGAAACCACCGCATCCAGAAACGCACAGTCGGAGCGCCGTCCTGATAAGGACGTGCTGCACGACTGTGTTGCTCTTTCTGTGAAGTTTGCAACTTTATACGCACCGCTCTGGAGGACCGGACCCAAAGAACGCCAGGCAAGGGAGAAACCCAGCTCGACCGTCTGCCACTGCGTGTACACACTCTGGACCGGGAGAATGCTCTCGTTCGCTCAGAATCGCTGGTCACAGCAGGAGGAACCCTCATCGACTCGATCAGAAAGTCTCTGAAGCGAAAAGGATAGCGTCTGCTGCGCCAGGTGAGCTTATATACTCAGTTGATTGCTTATGCCGCTCACCTGCGCAGGCTTGCGCTGCCAATTCATTCTTAATTGGCCCGTTCAATACTCTTTCAGACGAGTAGCTTCTGAACCGAACCTCCCAATGCGTGGATTTTACAATCAAATCCACTTATAGTGCTGAAGTTCCCCCCGAAGGGGAACAAAACTTCACTGCAGCAAACTATAAAAGCAACACTTCACGCTTGTTTTGCCAACACAATGTGGCGTCTATGTGGTGTAAACACTGTGATAGTAATGAATATTAATGAAGTTGCACAATAGAGCGCGCTGATTGGTTTGAACCAAGTCTTACTCATGCATTAATGCATCACACTGTAAGACGTAATAAGACTCACTCTGGCACAGATGTCCAGTCTGCACGCTGGAATACACGCTATTATGTCATAGCCGTGACGCAGCTTCAAAAATTTGTTTCAAACAGAAAGTATGAATTTGCTTGAAATAACGCAAAAACAACCAATTTACACTTTTTAGTGAAATATAGGTGTCCTAATAGTGTTTTTAGCAGTGTGGGACACATATACCACTGTCAACAGCTCAACACATGTGTTTTGGTGTTTCGTGACCCTTTAAGAAATCTAAAGGCTTGATATTGATTCTTGTAGAGTAATCCAATGAGGTGGGTCATGGGTTATGGGTGCATGTTAAATTTAGTGATTAAATTGCACTTTCTTGTTGCCTTTATTGTTTTAATTTGACATTAGACATTAATCATTAACTTAATATGTGAAACTTTCTGCATTTATAATTTATGTTGAGTTTATTTAAAAATAGGAAAATATAACAATGTAAAATATGAACATAAGAATGTTCATGTATTAATCAGGTGTAAAGCCCTTTAACTAACTAACTTTTATGTGAAGGATTAAGAAAATCTAAAAATCTAAAATCTTAAAGCTTATGTTAAATTACCTATAAAATGAGGTATATTACCTCTTGTTGGTAGTTGGAAGCAGTTATGGGACTTACTGTCATATTCCTGAGATGCACTTTCGCTTTTCCTTGATTCATGGCCTTCCTGTTTTACCAACTGTCTGTCATCAGAATCTGCTGCTCTGCTGTCCAGCGTTGAGTTCTGTTGTTCAGAAATCATTTCCTCAACTTTTTTAATAAATAGAGAATGCCGTGTGTTGTGAAGCTGCAGATGTCCTCCTCCACATTCTGTAGATATTTCCTGGATAAACTCATTTTCTTGTGCAGATCTCAGTCCAGCATGACCTGGTTCATCATCAGTAGTCAGGATTAGTGTGCGCTTCATTGCCTGCTCACCAAAGCAGTTCAACACTGAAAGTAATCGATCTCTCTGCTTCTTACTGAAATCCCTGTGCTGCAGCACCAGTATGATCACATGAGGTTCTGGGGAAGACAGTGCTGAAGCTTTCTGTATGATTGCTTGTAGTTTGAGTTCTGGGTTGAGCAGGTGAGATGTGCTGATGACTGTGATGTTTCTGCCCTCTACTCTTTCACTGAACTCCTCCACACCAGATGAGGACGCTTTCCTTTCAAATGCTTCTTTATTTAAGATTAAATTTACAACTCTGCGGTTTTCTTCAATACTCTTCCCCAGCAGGACAATCCTCAGATCACTCACTGAAACACAAATCACACACAACAGTTTTTGAGAACACATGCTGTAAACTTTAAGTGTTAAAGTTTAGCGATTATGAAGAGCAATTATTATTTTTCAGATACAAAGCAACTATAGATTTATAAAATGAGACTACTATGAACTTTTTATTTATGTACTTACTGTTGGGACGACTATCAGGAGGACTATGCTCCCTCTTGCTTTCTACAATGCAATAAACAAACAAATAATTAGTCGACAAAGAAACATGAAGAAATGCACAAATAAATGCAAAACTGAACGTGTAGGATCGTAGGATTTTTCATTATTAAGGGTATAACAGTACATGTTTTTGTCCCAAATGGCTCGTTTCCACTGACTGGTACAGTACAGTATGGTTCGGTACGGGTCACCTTTATCAGGCTTGCGTTTCCACTACCAAGGGTTCCCTTTTGGTGGGCGTGGTGTATGACAAAGCTTCAGTCACATCATTCTAGCTCAAGAAAATGTCTACAATAAAGCTGCACAGGTCGTTCACAAATTATATGAAAAGCATTTCTCATGGAACAGATGCTTTACACACATAAATACTTGTGTATAAATGTTTATTACTAACTTTTCTATGAACAGGAGTTGATTATAACTGCAGATCAATGACAGCGCTAAATAGCCTACTGTAACGTCGGTAATTATATTAAATAAATAAATGAACATATATGAACACACATAGCCCCTTACAGTCTCTGATATGTTACCGACTACAAAAAAAGTACACACAGCCTACATTTCATTCCTAATTAGGTTCATAACAACACAAAGTATAGCCTACAGTCAGAGCAAACCTCTCATCTGTGTCTATAATCTTCGGCAGCACATGAAGTCTCTGTTAGAGAATCACTCCATCATTCCCAGTTCATATTAGTCCAAAAGGTGATATAAAAATTAAAACAAGGCAGTTTGTTCACGTTTGCTGGAGAAAAAACGTGCTCCTATTTTCCCGTCTTTTTTCCGCGCTCCACTCTCGCGTTTGTCCTTTTCTTTCTGAATGTGTCACTCTTTAAATGTGTCAATGTTTGTCAGCTTCTCAAAGGATCAGGTTTCCAAAGCTTGTCAATAATCAAGCGCACGTTATTATTATCAGCTCAAGAAGTTTGTTATTTCAGAGATGCGCGGCGAGCTCAAGCAAGAAAGCGAAACCGCTCGCGCTTCAGACTGGCTCATGAAAAAAACTATGTGGCACAGGGTAGATTTTGCTCTACTCCATGGCTGTGTGGCTGTTCATTAACACGACAACAAGGTTTGTTTGAGCCCGGATTGACCATGGCTGCATATGTATATATAATTCCGCTGTAATCTCTCACTGTGTATTTCAAACATGGCGGGTCCTTTGTTTACATTCTGGCTTGTTGCGTAAGTGAATGACATAACTCTGTAAACCAATAGCGTTCAGCTGCGATTGTAGCTCCGCCTTTTGGTACCCTTTCTTGTGTTTGGGACCCTTTCGAAAGGGTGCCGAAAAAGTGGTACAGTACGGTTTGGTTCGGTACGCCTTTTGACAGTGGAAACGGCCATAAAAGTGTACAAAACCAAACCGTACCGTACCGTACCACTCAGTGGAAACGGGCCAAAAGTGCCAGATCTGTGTACAAACCTGCCTATAGGTTATTCTGATTGTTCCACTGCTTTGGAACTGACAGTAAACTATTTTATCATTAAAGTGTCTAAAAAACTCAATGCTGCAAAAGACACGTGTGTAACTGTACCATACGTCCATCAAACATTTGAAAAGATATTGTCTCATCTTGAGCTCATAAGTCGAGTATGTGAGTGTCTTCTCTACACACACACAAAACAGTTGTTGTCTGCTGCACCTGCTGTTATAGATGAACACAGAACTGTATTTACATTAAGAGTTTTCAATTTTGAAGCTTACTGAATCTTAAATTTAATACACAATTATAGTTTTTCTGTTGTTTTAGGAAAAGGCGGAGAGTAGTACTTATGGGACACTACCTGTCAAAAAGTTTGATGGATTGTAGCCCCGCCCCTAAGGCGGGACTTCCGGTCTAAGCCCCGCCCCTTTTATATAAACTTTATAGTTCCGGTAATTAGATTCTTATCGTTTTATATAAACTTTATAGTTCCGGTAATTAGATTTTTATCGGTTTAATATAAAATAATAGTTCCGGTAATTAGATTTTTATCAGACTAATTAAATTATTGATTCGGGTAATTAAATTCTAATCAAACTGAAATAAAATTATTATTATAATAATAATAATATCGGTAATTAAATTGCTGATATTAAAATCATTATTTAATTATTATATTATAATATAATTAATAAATTATACTAAATCCATCACTTACCCATATGATGTTGACTCCATGACGGTATGAACATACTGACTGTATGTGATAAGGAAAACGTTAGACAACACCCATCAACTGCTTGTGAAAGATAGATCTATATCAGATGTAGAATATGTATATCTGATTGTATATGTTGGGTGTCACCCACTAAATACTATATTTTGTTAGGTGATAAGGAAAAATGTTGACCGTTAGACAACGCCCTGGCAGATACATCAGGCCGATAGAATGATAAGTTGTTATTTGAACTAATGTTAAATATTGATAAGAAAGCATTGACGCAACAAATAACTGATAGAGTACGGGTGTGTCACTACAGATGGTATCAACATACATATGTATATGTATATATAGAGCTAGAAATAGTTTGAGTGTTATGTCAAAGTCATGGCTGCCTTTGAAGTAAACACTAGCACACCGGGTCAGATTTGGACCGACGATCTCAATACCGACTTAAACGGTAATCCTATCGCTATGGAGGAAAATTGGGAAGACCATATGCTGAGAAGGCTGACGATGGCTCCTAGAAAAAGGATCACCAACCTGAAGCTAACAAATTTTCTTCACGAGAATAAACGTTACATGAAAAAAGAGTTTGCTATGCCTAGCGAACGTATTTGTCATTACCTATTTGACAAAAAACAGCGGGTTGTTACCTTGTACACAACGGAATCTGGAGAGCCGCACAGTCTGGATGACCCCTGTCTGATCTTACCAGTTAAAGACTGGTTCTTATTCTACAATCATGTCTGGCCGGATATCCAGAATTCTAAACAAGAGCCGTTGTTTATCGCCGAGTGGGATTCTGAAAAACCGAACAATCGATTTCGAGTGGTTGGAAACAACTGTGAAAAGAATCCTAAAGACTGTATTTTCATATTCTTGTGCGATGACAAGACAAAGCTTCGTGAGCGTTCTGGTATAATACATGCTGATGAGCATAACGAGCGATATGAAATGTTGCTCCCCATCCTCTGGCAAGACGTCAACAAGCTGTCTGAAATTTTTGCCACCATAAACCAATTGTTCAAATGGTGTGACATGAATGATCGATACAAGGATATTAAAGTTCAGCTGTTTCACCCCCAGAGATCTGTGCGCCGAGGGAGGGAACACTCACAACTGTCTCCGCCCATCTACTACGAACATAAAAACCCATAATCAACAACTGATCACCACAGTACTACAACATGTCTCAACAACTCTCTTCAGAATTTGGTATCTTCAAGCCTGAGGATATCAAAGCAATTCCTCCTGATGACAACGCTTTGCCATGCTTTCCGAAATTCGGAACTTCTGCATTAGATCGCGACTTACCATGCTTTGAGCTATTCAATTCTTCTGAACCGGACAACGATGAAAAAAACTGGCTGGATAAATTTTGCACCGAACTAGGATACCGTAACCTGACATACCTGACCAACAAGTACAAAAAAGATGACGATACAAAGTTTGACGTCACAGATGGATGTTTCTGCAGTTCCGGTTTCAAGATCATAAAAGCACTGATCGCTGTGCTCATGCAACACATCATCAACGCACAGCTGAAAAAGGAATGTGAGGGTTGTGCTATCGACCACCCTAGCCAGCTGCAACACTCCTGTCTGTTTGAACCCTCAGCATACTACTTCGACTCTCACTTTGCAACACTCGTCAATAAACTGATCAAACCTGAGTTTCACACTGCTGTGTCACAGGCTATGCTGCGTGTTGGCTTAAAGTCACAGGCTCAGACGATCCACGGAACAGCCCTGGGTATTCTACACGAATTGAGGAGCGAACCATTCATCGTTGCAAGACTGGAAGACATCAGGACCAAGATTCTGGACGACTCCTGTGAGAAAATCGTCAGTGACGCTGTCGATTTCTGGCACCGCAGTGGTTAGACCTCAAACCAGCTGAAAACACCACAATGGGGAACACATGTAAACCTAGTAAGATACTTGAAAACTTTTTATTAGAGTACTATAAAAATCAGTTAAATGGCCTTTTATGTAAAGTCATTAATGATTCCAGGAATGATGATCGTTTATCAGAATCCAAACGTGTGATGAATTTTAAAAAAGAAATGAATGTTATTAGAAGTATGAATAACTCATGGGACAATATGATTGATGTTTGTGTTAATGCTACCGAACCATGTTCTATTATGATTAAAAGAGTTTTAGATGCTATGTCTGAAGTATCTGATCAGTTTGGAGTCGGTGATGTTCTCTGTATGACTACCTATGTAACAGATGTATGCATTTCGTTGATTGTAAAAAATGATGATGATGATATATCTGAAATTGTTGAATCTTTGGTCACTTACATTTTAGATAAAAACATGTCATCGTGTGTCCAATTTCTTTCTTACCTTGACCGTATGTAACCATTTTCTGATTTGATGTCATGTATGTTTCCTCGCTTTAAATAAAAAAAAGATTCGTACAAACAATGTTTTGCATTATTCTTTGACAACCATCGAAACAGGACCATGTCTGATATAATGAAGAAAGTTTATTACGACCCATCAAGCCCCGCTGCTTTAGGTGGTAAAAAACGTTTAAAAGATACTGTGTTTAAGGAAACTGGAGTGCGTCTAAGCGATAAACAGGTATCGGGATGGTTGGCCGGGGAAGACGCTTACACTTTACATAAAACAGCACCCATAAAATACAAACGAAATAGAGTTGTGGTATATGGTATGGATACCCAATTTCAAGCCGATCTCGTCGATATGACGGCCTATTCTACAGAAAACGACGGTAATAAATTTATGCTAACTTGCATCGATGTATTCAGCAAGTATGCATGGAGTCGGGTGTTGAAGAATAAGAGTGGAGTCGAAGTTACTAAAGCGTTCGAGTCTA